ATCGCCAAGCGCTTTTACCCTGATCAAGGTATGCATAAAAAAATAAGATTTGAAAAGATTTATGTTAATAGCTTTTACACTGCGCGAAATATCTTCCATTCTTGCAAGTTATATCCGATTGTTCCTATGGGAGCTATAGGATATAGACATCCGATCGGGGCGGTTTTCAAACTTGAATTCCGTACACATGTTTTAGGACGACTGTGAAAGTTTCAGATCGCTAGCTTTTAAACTGAGCTCGCAAACGGTATTGAAACAGGGGGACAGACGGACATGGCTATATCGACTCCCCTATTGATCCTGATCAAGAATATATATACTTTATAGGGTCGAAAACGTCTCCTTCACTGCGTTACAAACTTCTGACCAAAATTATAATACCCTCTGCAAGGGTATAAAAAAAAACTCAACGTAGTTACCTCTAGAAACATCTTAACTAATAAATAATTATGCCCGTTACTCGTAGAGTAAAAGGGTATATTGTATTCGTGCAAAAGTATGTAACAGCTAGAAGGAAGCGTTTCCGACCCTATAAAGTATATATATTCTTGTTCAGGATCACTAGCCGAGTCGATCTAGCCATGTCCGTCTGTCCGTCTCTCCGTCTGTCCGTCTGTCTGTCCGTCTGTCTGTCTGTCTGTCTGTCCGTATGAACGCTGAGATCTCGGAAACTATAAAAGCTAGAAGATTGGCATTTTGCATGTAGATTTTATGAGTTCCTACGCAGCGCAAGTTTGTTTCAAAAAGGTGCCACGCCCCCTTTAACGCCCACAATCGCTTATATACGATTTTAAAAATTTAAATATTTCGGAAAAGTAAAAATGCACTTTTATTGTGTTTATCAATACCTCTCGAAATGTATTTTTCAAATCGGACCATTCGCTAAAAAGTTATGCGTGATCAAAGTTTCTATCTCCATCTCCCTCGCACTCCCTTTACCTGAGTAACGGGTATCTGATAGTCGGGGCACCCGACTATAGCGTTCTCTCTTGTTTTGATATGTATTTGTTTTGTCAATACCTATCGATTGGCCAAACAAAAGTTTGCCACGCCCACTCTAACGCCCAAAAACCCATTAAACGCGCCTAGCGCCTACCTTTCCGCCTTTCATAGCGCCATCTAACATCTAACTTTGGAACAGGTGGCCAAGGTGCTCAACAGAGTCAATGTTAATTCTCGATAAGGATTTCTATTAAAGGAAATTGCGATGGTTTTCATTTGTCAATACCGAACTACATATATCCCAAGAACTATGCAAATCAAATCAAGTTAGCCAAATTGGAGGTCTGAGTCAAACAATGGCGTATGTGTGTATGTATGTAAGCATTGCACTCAAAGGACAAAAGCTGCCTGCGCTAAAACAGCGCTGGTGCTGATGCTCGTGCTGTAAAGCTGCCAGCTCTAAGAGATTGCCGAATTCAAATTGATAATTTTAACTGAGTAACGGGTATCTAATAGTCAAGGCACTCGACTATAGCGTTCTCACTTGTTATACCCTTGCAGAGGGTATTATAATTTTGGTCAAAAGTGTGCAACGCAGTGAAGGAGACATCTCCGACCCTATAAAGTATATATATTCTTGATCAGGATCACCTCCTGAGTTGATATAGTCTGTCTGTTTCTACGCGAACTAGTCTCTCAGTTTTAAAGATATCGAATTCAAACTTTGCACACACCCTTCTTTTCTTTGCACGCAGTATATAAGTCGGAACGGCCGGGATCGGCCGACTATATCCTATAGCTGACATATAACTGATTGATCGGAAATGGCATAACTCTGCTTTTTGTTAAGTTAGGAAGTTGGGACTTTCTATGGGTTTTATATTTGGCCAATTATTCCGACCTACCAAATTTCATAAGGATCGGCCGACTATATCTTATAGCTGCCATATAACTGATTGATCCGAAATGCCATAACTTTGGTGTTTGTTAAGTTAGAAAGTTGGGATTTTCTATGGGTTTTATTTTTGCCCAATCAATCCGACATATCAAATTTCATAAGGATCGGCCGACTATATCATATAGCTGCCATATAACTGATTGATCGGAAATTAAATAACTTTGGTGTTTTTGTAAAGTTAGAAAGTTGGAATTTCCTATGGGTTTTATTTTTGGCCAATTAATCCGACCTACCAAATTTCATATGGATCGGCCGACTATATCCTGTAGCTGCCATATACATAACTGAACGATTGGAAACGCCATAACTTTGGTGTTTTTAAAGTTAGGAAGGTGGGATTTTTTATGAGTATTAAGAATGCATCATATGAATAATTTTGGAGAATATAATTTGCAGAATATTCTGCAAGGGTATTTCAACTTCGGCTCCGCCCGAAGTTAGCTTTCCTTTCTTGTTATACCCTTGCAGAGGGTATTATAATTTCAGTCAAAAGTTTGCAACGCAGTGAAGGAGACATTTCCGACCCTATAAACTATATATATTCTTGATCAGCATCACCAGGAGAGTCGATCTAGCCATGTCCGTCTGTCCGTCCGTCTGTCCGTCTGTCCGTCCGTTTCTACGCAAACTAGTCCCTCAGTTTTAAAGCTATCTGCTCGAAACTTTCCCAAAAGTTGTCTTTCTATTGCAGGTAGTATATAAGTCGGAACGAGCCGGATCGGGCGACTATATCATATAGCTGCCATATAACTGAACGATCGGAAAAGCCATAACTTTGGTGTTTTTATACCCTTGCAGAGGGTATTATAATTTCAGTCAAAAGTTTGCAACGCGGTGAAGGAGACATTTCCGACCCTATAAAGTATATATATTCTTGATCAGCATCACCAGGAGAGTCGATCTAGCCATGTCCGTCTGTCCGTCCGTCTGTCAGTCTGTCCGTCTGTCCGTCCGTTTCTACGCAAACTAGTCCCTCAGTTTTAAAGCTATCTGCTCAAAACTTTCCCAAAAGCTGTCTTTCTATTGCAGGTAGTATATAAGTCGGAACGAGCCGGATCGGGCGACTATATCATATAGCTGCCATATAACTGAACGATCGGAAAAGCCATAACTTTGGTGTTTGTAAAGTTAAGAAGTTGGGATTTTCTATGGGTTTTATTTTTGGCCAATCAATCCGACATACCAAATTTCATAAGGATCGGCCGACTATATCTTATAGCTGCCATATAACTGAACGATTGGAAATGCCATAACTTTGGTGTTTTTAAAAATAGGAAGTTGGGATTTTTTATGAGTATTAAGAATGCATCATATGAATAATTTTGGAGAATATAATTTACAGAGTATTCTGCAAGGGTATATCAACTTCGGCTCCGCCCGAAGTTAGCTTTCCTTTCTTGTTTTTTTTTTAATTTTTATACCCTTGCAGAGGGTATTATAATTTTGGTCAAAAGTGTGCAACGCAGTGAAGGAGACATCTCCGACCATATAAAGTATATATATTCTTGATCAGGATCATTTCCTGAGTTGATATAGCCATGTTCGTCTGTCCGTCTGTCCGTCTGTCCGTCCGTCCGTCTGTCCGTCTGTCCGTCTGTCTGTCCGTCTGTCTGTTTCTACGCAAACTAGTCTCTCAGTGTTAAAGCTATCGAGTTCAAACTTTGCACACACCCTTCTTTCCTTTGCACGCAGTATATATGTCGGAACGGCCGGGATCGGCTGACTATATCCTATAGCTGCCATATAACTGATTGATCGGAAATAACATAACTTTGGTGTTTGTAAAGTTAGGAAGCTGGGATTTCCTATGGGTTTTATATTTGGTCAATCAATCCGACCTACCAAATTTCATAAGGATCGGCCGACTATATCCTTTAGCTGCCATATAACTGATTAATCGGAAATGTCATAACTTTGGTGTTTGTTAAGTTAGGAAGTTGGGATTTTCTATGGGCTTTATTTTTGGCCAATCAATCCGACCTATCAAATTTCATAAGGATCGGCCGACTATATTCTATAGCTGCCATATAACTGAACGATTGGAAATGCCATAACTTTGGTGTTTTTAAAGTTAGGAAGTTGGGATTTTTGATGAGTATTAAGAATGCATCATATGAATAATTTTGGAGAATATAATTTACAGAGTATTCTGCAAGGGTATATCAACTTCGGCTCCGCCCGAAGTTAGCTTTCATTTCTTGTTTCTGATGATCCAGTAACGAGTTATGCTGAGAACGGCTCATTTATTTATTTTTTTCGATGAAAATTTGTGAAAACTGTTCTGCCATTGTGGACGTACAGTTCTATGCGGTTTATTCGCTATTGCAAAAGTTATTGGGTTTAAACTTTGCAAATTATATTTTATTAAATTATTTTTGAGTATATTAAAAAATCTTGCTGATCGGGGAACTTATTCTAGCTGCCTTAAATTTATAAAATTTGATAAATATTGATTTTTTTCGAAGAATTATTCGAATTTAATTTTCTTTTGCACCCAAGCGTTTTAGTGTCACTTCGAATCCACCCTTTGAATTCAGTATCCCGTACAGCTTTCAATCTTAATATATTAAAATATATTTATATAATATATATTTAAAAATTTGGCTTGCCGAAGTTAGGTTTTTTTTTCTTTATTTTTATGTTTCCGATCGTTCCAATAGGAGCTATGTATATGATATAGTCGTCCAATCCGGCCAGTTGACTGCAATAGGAAAAAGACTTTTGGAAAAGTCTCATCCATATAGCTTTACGAGGACGAACGGACAGACGGACAGGGCTAGATCGACTTTACTAGTGAAGCTTATCAAGAATATATATATAATATTTTATAGGGTCGGAAATGTCTCCTTCACTGCATTGCAAACTTTTGAGTGAAATTAAAAAACCATCTGCAAGGGTATAAAATAAAAAATATATACTTTGATTTTAAATTATTCTAGTCGATTAATTTGATTATAAAGATAGAAATTAAGTCAAAAAGCTGCGAAACCAGATCACTTTTAGGAGCTGTGGCAGGTAAGACGTGGCTTAAAGTATTCTGCTGTTGTTTAATTATCAGGTAGATCGTTCTCAAAAACTATTAGAAATAATTAAAACATACCTTCGTTGTCCAAAATCCATTCCGTCACTTTAAATACCTCGTTTAGTGCGGGTATTTCTTGGTTTTCACTTCGACGCTGCAAACATATAAATTGTTCGACTTGCATGTGTCTCATACCTTTCACATGCAGAACCATTTCATGCAGGTTTTTAGCGGTAAAGTTGCACAGCTGACAGAGGAGCAGTTTTTTAGTCGACTGCGATTGCAATTGCTGATCTTCATCCGGACAGGAGAATTGAGGATCATCTTCGGCCGTGCCCGGAGCCTTCTTGTGCATTTGACTTTGCTGAACAATGTACAGGAGGTGCTGGAATATCATACGCATCGTGTCGTGTCGCATATGCTGTGTGTGAAGCGACAGCTTTTGAATAGAATTGGTATGAAAGTCGCAGCAGTTGCACTTTAGTTGCACCATATTTGCGGCCAGCTGTTGTTGATACTGCAGCTTATACTCATTGCGGAGGCCGCCCTCTCTGATGTGGTTGATAAAGTTAAGTTTCTGCAGATGCTTGTCTGTCTTGCTGTGCAGTTGGAAATTGGCCTTGAGATTCGTTTTGTAATTACATAACCGGCATATATAGTTATTATTGTGAATAACCATTATTTCGTTGGAGGCGCTGGAGGATTGCCGTGATCGATCTACTAGCAAATGTTGGTTGAGATCGTCCAAGTTGTTTGTACTGAAGCAATCGCAGATTAGACAACTATAGAACGCTGAGGGCCACTTGTCCGTTTTCGTCAGTGGATGAGCATCGCCAGATAAATCTCCTGGTACATCATTGGCGTGGTTCATTCCCATTGGCATTCCCAAGCCGATGCCAACTCCTGCTCCATGACTAATCTTCAATGGCTTTGGGGAGAAGGAAAACTGATCCGGAGTGCTTACAGGTGAAGATGAGGGTGACAATTTGGTATTAGCTGATTGCTGTTGTTGTTGCTGTTGGTGAAGGAGCTGGATCATAAGAGCCTGGTTATAAGCCAGATCAGCTAACGCAACCTCGGGCATGAAGCTCCCAGAGCTGTGTCCTGAAGCACTACCGCTAGCGCCTTGTTGCTGTAAAAAGTTGAAAGCCTGGATGTGTTTGATGTTGTTCTGTAGAACAGCCATATTGTGGGTATGCTTCTCACTAGTCATGTGAATGCGCAGGTTGCGGGCTACGGAGGTCTCATAGCTGCAGATGTCACAGCGAAATGATGGCTTTGGCTTTACGCTGGCGCTGCTGACACTACTTCCAGCATTGGCATTGGAGTTACATACTCCCGTGCCCGCAGATGCTGCGTTTCCGCCCAGTGGCGCGTTACCGCCAACGTTGCTAGATCCGCCGCACCCAGCGCCGCTGGTGGCACTGCCCGTTCCACTGTTAGATGGGCCCGCAGTAGCTCCTTGATGAGCTGGAGATGAGCTCGACAGAAGCAATTTGCTAGTCGCCGCGGCAGCAGCCGCAGCAGCTACTATATTTTGGGAACTATTAAGCTCCTGCATATTGTTCAGATGCTTATCCGACTGCATGTGAATGGAAAGATTACCCTTGGTGGTCGTAGAGTAGTTACAGATTTCACAGCGGTACGGCTTATAACCGCAGGAGTAGGATTCCCCCCGAGCCAGCCGAGGATGCTGCTGTCCTGTGCCACAAGAAAAAATGGGAATAAAAAGATCACAATATTTAAAGTGATCTTTTTCAATTTATTTTAAAACTTAATTCTACCTTAAGCTTGTAAAATGTACATATACCCAATCGTGTTTATAAATAAGTTTGAACAGTAATTAGATATCAAATTACTGTTGTAGGATGATTTCAATGTCAAAACTTTTTTTTAAATACTCAAACTCAATTATATACGCTTCACTGAATATTAAAATATTAACGTGTAATTCATAAAAAGAAAAAAGGGAGGTACGTGACTATAAATCGAGATAATATTACTCTATCATAAAATAGCTGCAAAATTTAATTTAAGGATTGTACTCAAGTATACCAATATTTAATATACTATTATGTTATGGCGGTAAAAAAATAAATTTGCTTTGAATAGTTTCCGTTTTCGTAAAGTAGCATAGTCATTAACGGTATTTGCAAATACATTTGAAGTTTAATAATTCGCATATCACAGTGTAATATGACCGCAAATATAATTAGAAAATTGAAACATTAAAATCATTGTACAAATATAACTCCAACTATAACTCGACGGGCATGGCTTCATCCATTTGACTAGTGTTACTGGTTAATTATTAATAGATTTAATAAAATGCCGGTACCCAATAAATTTAATCTTAAAGACATGCAGTTGCCCAATAACTTCAAAAAGTCTATGTTATATAAATTAAAAATAAATAAATTTCTAGAAGCTTTAAAGAAACTAGAACTATAATTTACACCGTATTCCCGAAAATTGTTTTTAACTACAATTAAAATATTAAATAAAATATTAATATTTTTGTTTATTTCTATTTTGTGGTCTATAGTTAACCGACTAAGTACCTGCAAGGCAATAACCACAGGCACTCTCCCCATCAGGATGCTTCTCCCGCATGTGGATTTCCAGTGTCTCCTGGTATTTATAATGCCAATTACATTGCGGACATTTAAGAGTTTTGCAAGAGTTGCGAGTAGACATTTGCACGCCGCTATTTAATCGAGCTGAGTTTAGAAGCATTTCACATCTGTGGAGAAAAAACAAGAAACGTAATAAGAAAATCCTTGTTAAACAACGGCAGGTAAAAAAAATTTGTAAGAAGTAATATCCATAAAGCCTTGAAAGTCGTGCTGATTCAATTCATTTAGATTACAATTTATTTACTTCAAATATTTATTTCTAGATGTTATGTACTTGATCAATTTAAATATCAACCGAGTTTAGAATGCGGGGAAGGCACCTTAAACCGTTTCCACATTCATTAGTGTGTCACCGGACCAAACAAAGTCAGGGCAAAATTTTAATGATACCGAACCCACAGTAGCTTGCCTCGACGCAGCGACACCATTAAATTGTGACAATTGGGGACCGGACAGACTGTCAGTAACATTTATTAAGTGAAATCAGCGCAATTGGTTTAATTTTTGTTGGCTGAGCCGCCATCATATTGTTACCCTCCTGCCATATTAAACTCTCCCTTCAGATCATAGCTACATAACAAAGCTTTCCCAACAAACTGTTAATTTAAAGATACAGGCATATAAATTACATAAGCATGGGATCGGAGACGAAAATTACCATGGAACTTATTAATAATAACTCCTCGAATAGATCGTCGCTATTAAATTAAACTAACAAAATGTATCCCATTTATTAAAGCATAAAGGTACTGGCTTTTTACACCATTACTAGTATTATAATTTTGTTCAACTGTTTTCAGCGCAGAGAAGTAGATTTTCCGACTCTATATAATTTTAATCATTATAATAAAAATATGTATGTCCGCATGTCTTTTTTAGTGCATTTTAATAGCTCAGATATAAGGACTTAAATCATTCACAATCGAATTTTATGCGCAGGCAAAAATGATCAATTCGTAGTTAACCAAAGCTTAGAATCTTTTCGTTAACTCCATTCTCTCTCAAGATGGTTTTTTTTTGTTCGCATATTTTTATTTTATTTATTTATTCGGCTTGCCAAGGCTAGCTTTCTTTTAGTTTTACTTTATGTAGATTCAAATAGACATATCTTTAAGCTCTATAGGTAATAATGACATTTATATTTTTAAAAAATATTATTTAATTCATATTCTTCTTTTCGAAAGCAGACTAACTTCAGAAATTGTCAGTTACTTTTGCACTCTTCACTCTGTCTTCCTTCAGCAACAATTTCCTTTTTTCGATATTTTGAGAAAACTTCGATTTCAAAAATGTATATTTAAAATATAAATATATTATATAATACTGAAAAACAACCAAATTTATAATTATGTTCAAAATTGAAACTAAATTACATTTATTCTTAGCTGTTCTGCACATTCCTAATATGTGTTCACAAATTTTTATGTATGGTTTACTGCTGTTCATCTTTTTAAAAGAAACTAGGAAGCGGTTTTTCTTGTCGACTGGGAGTTGGGAGCAAACCTCATTATTCAAGCGTAATGCAATCAGTGGGATTTAACTAACTGGAGTGGTTTCCAACCAAATCCCAATCGTCATTTGCGTTTAAATGAACAGCCAGTGAGGAGCTTGGCCTGTGGGCACAATTCATATATCTATGGCGTTACTGTTGCTGCCCTAATGACTTATTGTTCGACAGTGGCATGAAGTTTCCAGTTCCAGTCGAAAGTTCAAGCAGCCTTAATAATTACGCATATTAGGACAGTATGTACAACACGTAATCGCAACCCCTTCCACCAGATCAATATTTTGCACCCTGTCCTATTCTCATTCTGTGACAGGCAACCCTTCACCAATCAAGCAAATAAACCGCCTTGGGCAAGACCTATGTCTGATTAACCACCGAAAAAAATACCCATCCCCATCTAGCCGGAAACCTGAAATGCTACTCATACTGTGCTCAAAGTAACTGCTTACCGCGCACAGTCCACTCCTTGGGGTCGACCATTGATGTGCTCGGAACAGGCGCCGATTGTAAAGCTGGAAGTGGCGTTCGACGCATTTCCCACGCTGGCCACCGATGAGGCACTGGGTGATATTGCAAGGCCAGCACTGTTGCCGCAAGGAGATCGATGTGGGATCTGTTGGGGCTGGGACTGAACTTGAAGCTGGGGCAAAGACTGGGAGAGATGCTGATGCGAAAAACACGGCGACTTTGACTGCTGCTGGATGTCGAGGAGCTCGCAGGTTTTGCAGTCCACACCATTGAGGTCGGGATGATCAGGACATTTGCTGGGAAATAGTGAGCTCTGCTGCTGATGTTGCTGAAGTTGCTGCTGGAGGAACTCTGTGATCAGTTTAACCCGGTCGTCATTCGATTCATTGGCGGCCAGCGCTGCTAGAGATGCATGGAAGGAACTAACTTGAGCAGGGTATATGCTGCCAGCCGCACCATGCTGCAGTTGCAAAAAATCTGGGCAGGGCACATCCGAATCATTTGTTTGGGGTGATGCGGACATAGAGCCTATTTTCATTTCGATTTCTGATGAAGACGAGGATGGCGGCTCTACTACTTGGTTAAAATTGGTTAACTTATTGATACTTATATTATCAGTACTGGGCAATGAGACCTCTCCGGATGCGTATGCCGATGTAGGTGAACTGGTTGAGGATACTTTTGATAGGTTATTAGTCTTTGCTGTTGCTGAGTTTAAGGAACCAAGTTTCACAGTGGATTTTACTGCTACTTTAGGCGATGATAATGGGAGATATGCACTAGGTGCTGCCATTTTACTACTACTAGTGTCCTGATCAGTTTCAAGCTCTTGCTCATGGCCCTGGTCCAGGACTCGGACCTGTTCAGTCTCCTGCTTTTGTTCGGGTTCCAGTTTAGACTCATTGCTGAAAACTGGCTGCGGAGACGAAGACAGACTAGCGCCAATGCCAACAGGTGTTATTTGAATCTTCTCGGCGTCATCGGTGGCAGCGCTGGTGGTATTATTATCCAAAGGTTGTAGAAATGATATCTGCGGCTTTTCATCCATATTTCGCTGAATAATGGCACTGGAATACTCGCGATTAAGTAGCTGCTGATCGAGCTCTTCCAGGTTGAGTCTGTGTTCAGTGTTTGCATGCAAGCTAAAAGACTTAACGTTGCCAAAGGACAACTTGCATATAAAACACATTAAAATTGGTTTTTGGATTTTGAATGCTCTAATTTGATCCTGGCAGGTTGAGTTTGCATCTTGCGCGGACACCACACGAAAGGAATGAATTTTTGGACTCAATTTGTAGGATGCTCCTTTCAAGGCTTCGACACAAGGACCAGCATCCAAATCAGTTCGTTCCTGCTCCTGTTCCTCGTTTTGCTCTTGATGATGTTGATGCAGACGCTCTTTTTCTTTTTCCTCCTGCCCAAGATCTTTGACCTTTGAGATTTTTTTTGAAGTCGAAGTTAAGGCATAAAAACTTTGGGCAGACGCCGATCCACTTCCATTGGCATTGTCTGCGTCGATAATAATGGCGCTGCCATCGAGATTGTAAACTATTTTGCCGTTAAAAGATTCCACATCAGTACTGGACATTGGAGAGCCGTCGTCATTACCATTATTGGAGCTGAAAATGAATTTTAAAATACAGTTTTAAATTAATTTAGTCAGCAGCTTTATTAAAACCGAACCCGTTAAATCCCCTTCCACTCCAAAAAATTTAAAAATTCAACTTTCATAATCATTAATTTAAGTTTTCTTAAAGTGAAAAAGAAAGGAAAGTTAACTTCGGGCGGAGCCGAAGTTGATATACCCTTGCAGAATATTCTTTAAATTATATTCTCCAAAATTATTCATATGATGCATTCCTAATACTCATAAAAAATCCCAACTTCCTAAATTTAAAAACACCAAAGTTATATGGCAGCTATAGGATATAGTCGCCCAAACCTTATGAAATTTGTTAGGTCGGATTGATTGGCCATAAATAAAACCAACAGAAATTCCCAACTTCCTAACTTTAAAAGCACCAAAGGTATGGCATTTTCGATCGTTCAGTTTTATGGCAGCTATAGGATATAGTCGGACGATCCCGGCCGGGTTTTGTTCGGCAAAAAAAAAAAACGATCCCGGCCGTTCCGGGTGTGCAACGTTTCAATTCGATATCTTTAAAACTGACAGACTAGTTCGCGTATAAACAGACAGACAGACGGACAAGCTTTTATCAACTCAGGACGCGATCCTGATCAAGAATATATTTACTTTAAGGGTCGCATCTCCTTCACTGCGTTGCACACTTTTGACCAAAATTATAATACCCTCTGCAAGGGTATAAAAAACCAAACAAAATTCTTGGTGTAGCTTTGCAATCTCTCAATGATATGAAACAATATTGGTAAGCAATCAAGCCGAAGTTTATATACCCTTGCAGTTATTACAAAACGACTACATTACTCAAAACAATGAAGCTATGACGATTTTGCGCAGCATTTGGCCAACCTTTCTATGGCAGCTTTATGATATTATTGTCCGATTTCCATTTAAATCAAACCGTAATTCCAAAATATTTAAATATTGCAAAATCTCAAAGAACAATAAACAACAAACAACAAAGTTTTAATTTTTTTAAATTTTTTTTCGATTGTTCCTATGGGAGCTATTTGATATAGTCGTCTACCTGCAATAGAAAGACAACTTTTGGGAAAGTTTCAAGCAGATAGCTTTAAAACTGAGGGACTAGTTTGCGTAGAAACGGACAGACGGACGGACAGACGGACATGGCTAGATCGACTTTCCTGGTGATACGGACTGAAAATATATAAATAAATGTCTCCTTCACTACGTTGCAAACTAAAATTATAAAACCCTCTGCAAAAGTATAAGGAGGTCAGCAATTTAAAAATCGTGCAAAGATTATGCAAAGAGAAACAATATTATAAATCATTATTTGTTATACAGAAATAATAATTTTAAGCAATTTCAAAATTATGGTTTCCATAAAAAAACAAGAGAGAACGTTATAGTCGGGTGCCCCGACTATCAGATACCCGTTACTCAGGTAAAGGGAGTGCGAGGGAGATGGAGATAGAAACTTTGATCATAACTTTTTAACGAATGGTCCGATTTGAAAAATTTCTTCTACATTTCGATTGATAAATACAATAAAACTGCATTTTTACTTTTCCGAAATATTTAAATTTTTAAAATCGTATCTAAGCGATTGTGGGCGTTAAAGGGGGCACCAGTTTAAAACAAACTTGCGCTGCGTAGGAACTTCTAAAATCTACATTCAAAATGTCAATCTTCTAGCTTTTATAGTTTCCGAGATCTCAGCGTTCATACGGACAGACAGACGGACAGACGGACAGACAGACGGACAGACGGACATGGCTAGATCGACTCGGCTAGTGATCCTGATCAAGAATATATATACTTTATAGGGTCGGAAACGCTTCCTTCTAGCTGTTACATACTTTTGCACGAATACAATATACCCTTTTACTCTACGAGTAACGGGTATAATAATCGGACGATTCTATCATATAGCTGTCATAGGAACGATTGTTTTATAGCTTGCTTTGATTCTTAAATATCAAAATATTATAATTTTTGAATAAACAAGAAAGGAAAGCTAACTTCGGGCGGAGCCGAAGTTGATATACCCTTGCAGAATATTATGTATATTATATTCTCCAAAATTATTAATATGATGCATTCTTAACACTCATAAAAAATCCCAAATTCCTAACTTTAAAAAGACCATAGTTATGGCATTTCCAACCGTTCAGTTATATGGCAGCTATAGGATATAGTCGGCCGATCCTTATGAAGTTTGGTAGGTCGGATTGATTGGCTAAAAATAAAACCCATAGAAAATCCCAACTTCCTAACTTTACAAACACCAAAGTTATGGCATTTCCGATCAATCAGTTATATGGCAGCTATAGGATATAGTCGGCCGATCCCGGCCGTTCCGACATATATACTGCGTGCAAAGGAAAGAAGGGTGTGTGCAAAGTTTCAATTCGATAGCTTTAAAACTGAGAGACTAGTTTGCGTAGAAACAGACAGACGGACAGACAGACGGACAGACAGGCGGACAGACGGACATGGCTATATCAACTCAGGAGGTGATCCTGATCAAGAATATATATACTTTATAGGGTCGGAAATGTCTCCTTCACTGCGTTGCACACTTTTGACCAAAATTATAATACCCTCTGCAAGGGTATAAAAAGCAATGCAAAGCTGTTTTATGCAGAATCTGATGCATACATTAGGCATCTTTTTCAAACTACGGTCAAATATCGCTAGCTATGTCTTCCTGGCCGATCATCACATACATTCAAATCCCTGTACTATATAGTTATTATTGGACTGATTTCTAAACGGTTTTGTCAATGGCATCGACCCACTTGGATTAGCGCCGATAGTTAGATTTAACTGGCTGTTAAAACTGCAATGTGATAAGTCAATACTACAAGCGCTATACTTTATTATTATTATCATCATTTGAATGTGTCCCGATTCAACAACGCTCCAGAGCCGTGCGTATGGATGCTGCCCCTGCAGCAGGGGCAAGACACTATTCACTTGGTGACAGCCAAGTCAAAAGTGGCCTAGACAAAACAAGAAAGGAAAGCTAACTTCGGGCGGAGCCGAAGTTGATATGCCCTTGCAGAATACTCTGTAAATTATATTCTCCATATAATGCATTCTGAATACTCATAACAAATCCCAACTTCCTAACATTAAAAACACCAAAGTTATGGCATTTCCAATTGTTCAGTTATATGGCAGCTATAGGATATAATCGGCCGATCCTTATGAAATTTGGTCGGTCAGATTGATTGGCCAAATATAAAACTCATAGAAAATTCCAAATTCCTAACTTTACAAACACCAAAGTGATGGCATTTCCGATCAATCAGTTATATGGCAGCTATAGGATATAGTCGGCCGATCCCGGCCGTTCCGACATATATACTGCGTGGAAAGGAAAGAAGGGTGTATGCAAAGTTTCAATTTGATAGCTTTAAAACTGAGAGACTAGTTTGCGTAGAAACAGACAGACGGACAGACGGACATGGCTATATCAACTCAGGATGTGATCCTGATCAAGAATATATATACTTTATAGGGTCGGTGATGTCTCCTTCACTGCGTTGCACACTTTTGACCAAAATTATAATACCTTCTGCAAGGGTATAATAATATAATAATATTATAATAATATAATAATATAATAATAAAAGAAGGGTGTATGCAAAGTTTCAATTTGATAGCTTTAAAACTGAGAGACTAGTTTGCGTAGAAACAGACAGACGGACAGACGGACATGGCTATATCAACTCAGGAGGTGATCCTGATCAAGAATATATATACTTTATAGGGTCGGAGATGAGACATTCTTGATCAGGATCACCTCCTGAGTTGATATAGCCATGTCCGTCTGTCCGTCTGTCTGTCCGTCTGTCTGTTTCTAAGCAAACTTGTCTCTCAGTTTTAAAGCTATCGAATTGAAACTTTGCACACACCCTTCTTTCCTTTGCACGCAGTATATATGTCGGAACGGCCGGGATCGGCCGACTATATCCTATAGCTGCCATATAACTGATTGATCGGAAATGCCATATCTTTGGTGTTTGTAAAGTTAGAATGTTGGGATTTTCTAAGGGTTTTATATTTGGCTAATCAATCCGACATGCCGAATTTCATAAGGATCGGCCGACTATATCCTATAGCTGCCATATAACTGAACGATTGGAAATGTCATAACTTTGGTGTTTTTAAAGTTAGGAAGTTAGGATTTTTTATGAGTATTAAGAATGCATCATATGAATAATTTTGGAGAATATAATTTACAGAGTATTCTGCAAGGGTATATCAACTTCGGCTCCGCCCGAAGTTAGCTTTCCTTTCTTGTTTTTTAGATTACATTGTCTTGGAAGAAATATCCTTTTAGAACCTAAATATTCTACTATTCTAAAGGAGCTCATTATTGAAAGCGAGAAGCAATTGTCTTTGCCTGCAACAATACTTTTAAAACAAGAAAGGAAGCAAGCTTCGGCAAGCCATCGTTTATATACCCTTGCAGTTATTACAAAACAACTACATTTCGATTTCTATGCCTATATTACTAAAAACAATCGATTTTGCATTGCATTTTGCCATCGTTTCTATGGCAGCTTTATGAAATTGTGGTCCGAATTTAATTTAATTAAACTGTAATTCCAATATTTAAATATTACCAAATCCAAAAGACCATTAAAAACAACAAAGTTTCTGATTGTTTCTATGGGAGCTTATGATATAGTCGCCCGATCCGGCTCGGTCCAAAATATATATTACCTGCAAGAGAAAGACAACTTTTGGGAAAGTTTCAAGCAGATAGTTTTAAAACTGAGGGACTAGTTTGCGTAGAAACGGACGGACAGTCGGACGAACGGACATGGCTAGATCGACTCTCCTGTGGATGCTGATCAAGAATATCGATACTTCATAGGGTCGGAAATGTCACCTTCACCGAGTTGCAAACTTTTGACTGAAATTATAATACCCTCTGCAAGGGTACTAAAATTTTCACTTGCCGAGATTTGCTTCTGTTTTCGATATTATATAACTTTT